AGATTTAAAAAGAATCACTGATTTGTATCCATCCTGCTCTTCTGGTAACCCATTCATCTGTGCATTGAAAGGAACTGATATAGTGTGATACGCTGATATAGTGTGATACACAATTACAAAATGGCCAAAGTGAAATTATGACTTTAATTATCTTACCTGGAATCTTAAGGTGAGCAAACTTCAATTTACATCATTACTCATTTCATTGTGCAACATAACTATTTCAGAAAGAATGAGTAATCTACTACTAACTAAGTTTCAGAGAATAGCCATGTTAGACTATTTCAGCAAAAACAAATTTATCAGGACATAAGCTTTCCTGAGATATAACTCACTTCCTCAGATGCTTGAAGTGAAAGAAAGGAATATAGAAATGGGAATGTAACATCGGTGATAATTAAATCAGGGTGGATGTGCCTCACCTCCCATAGTGATGAAAAGGTGAGAGTACTAATTTTAATGGGAGACATTCCATATCTCTATTCAAACCAATCCTGGTGGTATTAAATTTGCAAATAAATTTCAGCTCAGCAGTTTCACATTGCAGTCTGTTTAGAAGCTGTTTCTCCCCCCCCCCCCCAAAATGGCAGCTTATAAGTCAATAACTATGTCTAGGAAGGTTAACATGTTCCCCCACTGGTTTGTATGTTGTCATTCTTGATGTCTGATTTGTGTCCATTTATTCTTGTGCGTAGAGAAAGACCAGTTTGTCCAATGTGCATGGCAGAGAGGCATTGCTGGCACACAATGGCATATATTACATTAGTAGATGTGCAGGTAAATGAGCCTTTGACGTGGTTAGGTCCTGTGATGGTGTCACTATGGTAGATCTATGGACAGAGTTGGTAATATGTTGCAGGAACAACAGTTTGTTTATCCAGTTTGTTGCAAGAATTGGTTCTGTTTTGAGATGTGAAGTTGGTGGTATTAGTTTCAGGTTGCGGGGGAAAGGAGGTTGTTTGTAAGTGAGGACTGGCCTGCCTCCCAAGATCTATACTGCAGTAGATCAATAGATCTAGATCCACAGAATCACAGAATACTAGAACTGGAAGACACCTCGAGAGGTCGAGTCCAGTCTCGTGCAGTAGATCAGATTCTTGTGTACTCATGGCAGGACCAAGCACCATCCCTGATAGATGTACGTTAAACTTGGACTACAAGTGAACTCAAATCTCATGTGGTTCCTATTCCTTCCTGTTCCTTATAGTTATTACATACAGGCAGTCCCCGGGTTACGTACAAGATAGGGACTATAGGTTTGTTCTTAAGTTGAATTTGTATGTAAGTCGGAACTGGTTCCAGATTCAGCCGCTGCTGAAACTGATCAGCAGCTGACTACAGGAAGCCCTAGGCAGAGTTGCTCTGCCCCCGGCTTCCTGGAATCAGCCGCTGATCAGTTTCAACAGGCTGAATCTGGACTCCTG